AAAATTTTTCAAAAAAAATTTATCTAATTAATAAATATTTGCTTTTATTTTTTCTTGAATAGATTTTCTTGCTGACTCAATATCAATAGATGAAATTGATATTGAAAAATGGATAAGTCAATCATCTTTTCCATCTCCTCCTATGGATACAAATAGTTCTCCTTTATCAAGTATTGAAGATTCATCATCAATAGAATCTACAAACAATAGAGATATGAGTGTTCCATCATCACCATCTCTATCATCAACAGATTCATCTCCAACACCATCAATGAAAAAACCAAAATTATCAGCTGTTGAACGTAAATTACGAAAAAAAGATCAAAATAAAACAGCAGCAGAAAAATATCGAATCAAAAAAAAATCTGAACGTCATCATTTACTTGATCGACATTTAAAATTAAAAAATACAAATACAGAACTAAAATTGGAATTACAAAATTTAACTGATCGTATTCAACAATTTAAAAAATTACTTGTTGATTTCCTTCAAGTTGATTTATCAACATCAAATTAAATAAATATTCTTCTTTTGATGTTAACTATTATTATCAATACTATCGTTTTTTATTTCTTATTCATATACATATATACATATGCCTTTTCTTCTTTCTTCATTTTTCTTGTGTTGTGTTCATTTATTTACTCAATAAATACTTCCTCTTTTGTGTATGTAAAAAATCATGATTATATCTTACGTATGGGTTTGTTGAATACTACGTCATCAGAGAGCAAGGGCGCACAAAAAAAATAGCAATTCATGAAAGGTAGAGGGAGGGGTCCAAAGGTGTGATGATGTCGTCATTGCAAACAGAACACTCTAAATTTGTATACCTAATCATGTGATAAAAATGATATTTGAGAAATATTTTTCTCTTTTTGTCTCATACACGTTATGACCACCGCTGACCTATAAAATAAATTTCCAATACAGTGTAAAGGAGAGAGCTCATCGGGTAGAATTTGAGTTCGAAATATTTTTTGTTAATTCGATTTCAAAACTTTGAACTGTGCTTGTCCTGACACAAATAATGATAAATATTAAAAATCTTTAAGATTTAATTATATATTTAAATAATTGTAAAATAGATATTGCACTTGAATCCGAATTGGAGATAATTAACATCTGGTAAATATTTTCACAACCATAGTAATTTTCAAACTTTTGTTTTATATGAAAAAGTATACGATTGCTTGTTGCTGATTATGTTGGAATAGAACACACTGACGATATTAATAATCATAATTGTGGATATATACATGAATGCTTATTCCATCATAGTCATACATTTTTACCTCTTTGAAATATCTAGTGTCCTGCGTGATTGATTTTTCTGATCACGATCACAAAGAAAATAGGATTCTCAATTACAATCACAGTTACGATCACGAATGTTACATAGTATTTAAAGACAAGAAAATTTTTTCATCATTCGATGATGCTATCTGTCTGATATCTTTCATCGGATACAGATAAAGTGAATAGAAATCAACAATAAAAGTCGCTATTTCTCTTCGATTATACTCGCGAAAATACTTTGAAGATGTGAAAAAAAAACTTTAACTTATCTTCGTTTTTAAAATGTGTACCACTAATCTCGTTCAACTGAATAAAAAAGACATTTGAACGACTAGTCGAACAAAATCATACATCAATATCATATGAAAAACCAAAAGAAACCACAAGAATATCCAATGTTGCTCTCATTTTAGTCAAATTTATGTCACCAATATTAAACAAGATTTTGTTATTTGTGATTATTGTAAGTCAATATTCGTTTATAAATCATCAACAGGATCTAGTTCTGTGCTTGTTCATTCACATTCTTGTCAATCAACAAAAAAAGTATCTGATTTGTTGAACCAACAACGAAAAATTACTCATTATCTTTTAGTGAATATCGAAAGTGAAGACGATGATGAACAGATTACTAAATGATGTAATTTCTTCACTTTTTTTTCAGTTTTGTCTTATTATGAAATAGCATTTCATTAGCTAGTGGATTTTCTTTGTTTTTTTATTAACAGTAAATGTGAACTGTCAGATTTTTTTCTGATTTAAATATGAACATTATATTCTTAAATAAATATTTGAGACTTTGGATATATATATTCCAATCATGAATGACGAAATTTTGGTTTCAATCACGATTACGATTATGATCACGAAAAAAGTTTCTCATCATTCGCGAGCACACGGGATTGTGATCGTAATCGTAAAATTAACGATCATGCAGAACATTGTAGAAACATCACTTTCCTGTCCAGGCATTTCAATCTCATCGTTGTATGATACACTATCATTCATTTATCAATGAATTTTCATTATAAATGAACTGGTTATCATCGCTATACTTTTATGTAATCTAATAGGTTGAAAAAGTAAATATATTTTGAAACATTGAGATATCCTTAATTGTTTCGAATTACATGTTTAGTGTTAGCTTCTCTTTAGCTTTCACCTACTAAATATGTATGTGAAAGGAATAATTTTAGAAAAACCACTTTCTTGCAGCTTCTTTTGCTTTTCGTCAATAATCATAATTATTTTACAGACAAATGTTTATGTTTATTCTTAGAATAACCTTCATTTCATGTTGATATCAATAGCTACTATATATATATATGTATATCGAGACCAAGGTTTGCGGTCTTCAATTTTACTCTTAAAAACGAAATTAATTGATTTATATTAATAGAAAATCAATAAGAGTATGTAGAAACTAACTAACCAATACAATAATCAATATTTTACGTTGTCTCTGAAGCTTGTTAAACAAATTGTTAAGTTACAGCAAGAAACATGATGTTTAATCATCCGTGAAAAGTCTTTTTTTTTAATGTCAAATTGATTTTTTTATCATCGTTTTGTCTATTAATTATGATATATGTAAAGAAAAAATAGATATGTTGATTGTTACTTTAAAAAGAACAGTCATTAAAATTACATAAATATATATAGTAAAATCGAGCAATGAAACAACGAATAGAGAATATGATATAAAAAAAAACAAGAATGAAAAAGAACAACGAAGAAAAAATTGTTTATGCACAAGACGAGACGTTCGTAAAAGTAAAAATAAGGGACAAAATAGTTCTGCTTATATCACGACGATACACAGAAAAGAAAAATCAATTTTCATTTTCGAGCTTGATTAATTGTGAATTTCATTCATAAACGCAAAATTGGAGACGAATAAAATGCAACAACCATCGAACTGGGTGATAAGTACCACTGTAGTGGTGATTCTTCTTGCACTGTATTTGGTCAGAAGTAGTAAGTATTCGCTAAACTTACTATTTTAGCTTTCTTGTTTTTTACATTCCTTTTCCTCTGGTAAAAGTCAGAGGGGTGACCTCGAGGTGTCTCTATGAAAAACTAACATTGATGTTTTTGTTGATTTTGCTCTTAAAGAATGTTAATTTGTCTATAAGTGTTTAACAGCCATTGACAAAATATTAAAAAAAAAATTTTAGTAAATATTGACAGAGAATATTATTTATCGATCTAAGTTAGGAAGGATTTGTTTTTTTTTTAAATTTTAGCTCTTGTGAGCAAGACTGATGATGAGGAAACATCGGTATCTCTTTGTCAAGTACATTTTCAATCGGATGACTCTAATGGATTTGAAGATCAAACACTTCTTACAGCATTAGCAATTCTTAAAATGCATGATTTTCAAATTGGTCAACCTGTATGGGTACCATCGAATGCTCTTCTTTATCTATGTGAACATCGACTCAAATCAGGTCTGAAACAATCAGTAATTGATCAAGAATTAAAAACAGCACTTAAAAATAGTGGTCCATCATCAAAACGTCTTGTTTGGTCATGTGCTTGACTGTCATAATGTTGATATATATGTATTCTTTGAAGTGAAATAAAAATGTCTTAGTAATAGAAAAATCGCTGTTCATTTGACACTTGATCGTTCATATGAAATGATAATGAAATTTTCTCAAGGGGGAAAAAGCAAATTGTGAGTTTGTGATTTAAAATGAGTTTATGTGAGTTTTGTGATTTAAAATGAGTTTACTTGAGTTTTATGATTGAAAATGAGTTTGTCTGAGTTATATGATATAAAATGAATTTATGTGAGTTTTCTGAGTTAAAATGAGTTTTTGTGATTTAAAATGAGTTTAAAGTCGATTTAAATCAGCTTTAAACTCACTTTAACTCAGAAAACTCACATAAACTCATTTTAAATCATATAACTCAGATAAACTCATTTTCAATCATAAAACTCAAGTAAACTCATTTTAAATCATAAAACTCACATAAATTCATTTTAAATCACAAAACTCACAGAAACTCATTTTAAATCATAAACTTACGGCTCGCTATTTTCCGATTTATAGTGAGTTACAATTGACTTAAAGTGATTTTCGTGATTTAAAATGAGTTAAAATGATTTTCGTGATTTAAAATGAGTTTACTTGATTTTTGTGATTTCAAATGAGTTTCAGCTGATTTAACTCACGCTTTTTCCCCCTTGAATTTTTTTTGATTGGATATATATAATGAACAATGCAAATAATTAATCATGAAAGAGAATGATTTTTAAATATAGAATTCAATTCTTTGAATCAAGTAGTTGGAAACTAGTGAAGTTTATTCTAGATAATATGGTAAATTTTGGAGAAGTATCAAACAATAGAACATGGATTGTCAATTTTATTTTCTTCCCATTTTTGCCATAGTTTTACTAATTGTAATTTGCAATAAAACATTGTTTTATATCGCAACTAAATATCAATTTTCATTTTGCTACGCCATATAAATTAATAATTTCGTTTTCTATAGATCATTTTATAAGATTGTATTATAAATCATCAAAACAAACAAAAAAAAAATCAGAATATGAAATAAAACAAACGAACAAATTTAAATTGTCGATTATTGTTTTTTTTTTTTGTTGGTCAAATATAAACAAGAAGAGAAACAAAAAAAAAAGATTAAAACAAAGGCGCCAAAAAAAAATACATGTCAAGTGTCATTTTTAAAAACGTGTTTCTGCTGTAACACTTTCATTATCATCATACATATATATATCTTCAGATGGTGTTCCACCATTTGTACATGTTGTATAATATGGTGATTGTTGTTGATGTTTTCTTGTACGAGTTACAAATTCATTTAATTTTGTACGTGCTTGCCATAACATAGAATTTTCCGATATATTATCTTCATCATCAGATTCTATTTGTCGTTGTCGTTCTTGTTTCCATTTTTCAATATTACTTATATGATGATCTGTTGTTTGATAATGTTGACGATCTTGTGAATAAGCACGTTTATTATGTTGAGAATTTGTAGGATTTATATGTATTATTACATTACCACCAGGATAAAGAGAATTATTACTTGTTGAAGATGAACGAAAACGTCGAGAATAATGACGTTGTACAGCTAAATTTTGAGTTAGATTTGAATCATATGATGATATTGTCATTGCTGAACATCGACCACTTGGTTCAGGAGTATCTAAATAAAGAAGAAAAAAAAAAAACAATGTTGACTCTTTCAATTGATTAATAAATAAAAAAACAAAAAGTATTTTAACGAATATCTCTCTAACCCTTTACGAGATAAATAAACAAACATATGAAACTTAAATATTTTTTTTTATAAAGATTCTCTTTAGCATATAAAAATATTTAATCATAGAATAAATTTGAAATAATCTTACCATTTGTTGCTCTTGAATAAAATTTTTTCTTTTTTAAACTTTCCAATACTTTATTCATCATTTCTTGTCGTTGATTAGATTCATCTATTGAATTTTGTTCTTTAGTTGTTGATGATCGATCAAGTTTTTGTTCATTAATTGTTGTTATTGGTTGAGAACAAGTTATTGTTTGCATGGTAGATGTTGGTCGTTGTATAACCATTTTTGTTTCAAAAAATTTTTTTAATGATTTAACGGAATGTAAATGATTCATTATTATACTTTCTGTATTATCTTCATTATCAATAGATGTTATTTGTTTTTGAACAGTAAATACACTACTTGTTGTTGGTGAACAATCATTTAAAGTAGTTGTTGTTGTTGTTGTTGTTGTTGGAAGTAAAAAAGATTTAAATAGTGGTGGTGCAACTGGTATTGATTGAATTACATCAGGTGAAACATCATAAGTATCAAATGGATTTGATGATGGTTCGAAATTTGTTGTTGTATTAAATGATGATGATGGTGGTGGTGGTAGTGGTGGAGAAAAACGTTGAGTAATATGTTCTTCTATAGAATTAAATGAAGAAACAAAAAAATTAAGTTTATCTTTTGAATAAATATCAAGCAAAAGTATAAGAAAAAAGTAACACTTCCTTGTATGTTAACTATAGGCTGGATTAATCAAGTTCAATGATGAATTACCCTTTGAAAGATGAGTTTTTTTTTGTAGTATGTTTTGTAGATAGTAATAATTGCAGTTTTCAACTTACACCGAAGTATCTCAAAATTTGAGATAAATCAAACAGTTTACTTGGTATCTGTCGTATTCATCTATTGAATTTAGATATACTAAATATGTACAACAAGCTTATTTGCAGATTAAAGCAATCATAATGTTAAATTAAGACAAACAGAATACGAAAAAAAAAAATAACGAGTCTCAGAAATACTTGAATCTTTCAGATTAGGTAAATTTTTTTTTTCTGTAAAAATTAGTTTCGAGAAAACAAATCTTCTTGTGTATGTCAAGGCTTTTTTTCTCTAACTAAAATGATTAAAAACTGGCAGTATTAAAGGTTCATGATCCATACTATCAACATCTTTAGAATGAGAAATAATCATTAGCATTAAGAGAGTTTTGCATACAAAAAATGATTGCAGCGCAAGAGTTTAACTTATGTTATATTAGTATAATGGTAAAGGTGCAGTAATAAAACTTTTTTTTTTTAAATTATTCAAACCTTGAAATGAAACACGTTTTGAAGCATTTTTCCATTTTTGTTGATTTGCATTTCTTAATTCATTTGTTATTAAACCATGTAATTGTAAATCATCATCATCATCATCTTCTTCACTTTTTGTTAATAAAATATCATCCATACTCATATGTTCATCTTTATCTTTATTGATTAAATTATTTTCTAATTCATTTATATTATTAACTGCTGTTAAACTTCCAACTGTTTGTTCATCAACAAAACCTGAATCATATGTTGATAATTGTACAGATTGTGAACAACGAAAAAATGGTTGTTGTTCAATTAATGATGCTTTTTCAGTTGTTTTAAATAATGATTTTGGATCAAGTGATTGAAATTCTGTTTGACAATAACCAACTATTACTGAATTATTTGTTGTTGGTTTAAATGTACTTATAGATGGTTTTGTTGAAAATGGACCTGTATTTGAATTTGATTGAACAAAATTTCGATGAGGATACTAAGAAAAAAAAAAAAGAAAATTATAAATATTTATTTAGTTTTATTTTTCTTTTGTTTACTTCATTAAGAGATTGAATTGAATAATGTGGATTATAAATTGAATCAGCACCATCTGTTATTGTACCAGCATCATCATCTCGTCTTATCATAGTTGGTACACTAACAACAACTGGTCCTCCAGCATCTATTTCATTACCTAAACTTCGATCTGTTTCTTGATCAGTTATAGATGAATCTCTTAGAGCACTTCCTGACATTCCCATATAATTTGAATCATCACCACTATTTCCAATTCGTTTATAATAATCATCATTTTGTTGTTGTTGTTGTTGTTGTTCATTATGAATTAATGCTTGAATAGTTTTTGTTATCTAAAATTCAAAAATAATTTAAATAGAATTTAATATAAATAAGGATTATCATTTACTTGTTGTTGTTGTTGACTTTGTACGGATAAATCATGTTTACGTTCAGATTTCATTAATGGTTGATGTTGTTGTCGTCGACTTGAACTATTGAGTGTTGTTGCTGAACTTCGAATAATAATATCAGATAAACTTAATTCTGATGATTCATAATCATCTGCTTCGGGTACTGGTGAAAGTGTAGCAGCTAAATATAAAATTATTCATAATGTTTCTTTGCTATGGTTTTTTTTTTGTTTTAAAAATACGAACTATCCATAAGAAGAGGAAATTTAAATGTTTGTTGTTGTATTTGTTGTGTTTTTGGTGCTATTGGTGCTTGATGATGATGATGATTAGTTTTTTTATCCAAATGACGAATAAAACGAAAACGTGATCGAAAACTATTTAAAAAAAAAGTTATAATGAAGTTTTTTCATCAAAAAGTAAAACTATTATTAATCTGATAGTGAACGTATAAATAATCTGAACTATACTTCAGAAGTTTCTTCTTTGCAAGACTTTTGACTCAGAATTGTACGGGATCATTTTTTTTCTTATGCTTATAAAATTTTAACGGAAGGTCGTAGAATATGCGGCGAGTCCTCATTTTATTGAACATTTTATGCTCTTTAAAATAGCATTTAAAAACAAAGTAACTCCAACAAAGTGTTCTGAGACTTTTGGCTATTAAAACCATTAGGTAGATTTCCACTACCTGAGATCCTAACGAGTTATATATATATTATGAAAAGATTTTGCACAATTAACTTAATATTATTGAGTTACTGTATTCTTACGATATTTTTTAAAATCAAAGTCATGATCTTCCCCCAGACACATTAAGAAAACTTATTTTTGAATAGAATAATTTATTGTAAAAGCTGAAAATATTTTCAAAGTATTTTTAATATTGTTCATAAAGATTTAAGACCATTTCTATGTAAAATTTGAAGTTAAAATCCAAAAAATACTTTATTTGAGTCTACATGATGTGCATAGGTCTAAATCGAAAGTGATTAATCAGTTGAAAGACTTTTATCAACAATGAATAATTCAAATATGATTATATTTAAATATAAAATCTTAGTGACTTCTTATTCATCATTTTTTTAACGTAAACTAATACTCTTTGTCAAACAGCACGTCGTTTTTATTTACAAAAACGAAAATGTATTAACGGACATAGGTCATCGATTGTGTCATTTATGAATAAAGGAATCTAATGTATTCTCTATGAATCATCATGTTATGTTAATTGATGACTAAAACAATTTAAAAAACAAAATTAATGATTAAGATAAATAACCTTTTTGCAAGTGGTGTTTTACTACAATTTTTAAATATATGACTACCAAACCATTGACGTCCTTCTATTTTAGCCCATGATCCATTATTATCAATCATATAACCACCTTGATCTTTTTCATCCCATATAACAATTTCACCTAGAAATATAATTAAAAAATAACTTCTGTTGTTTTATTTCTATTTCATATTTTTTATACTTACCAACAGCAGGTAATATATCATTATTATTCGTATTATTCGGTGTATTAATTAAACCATTAGTTGTATCAGTAAATGTTGGACTGCGTAAATGTCCACTTCCTCCAAGTCTTCTATTATCTAATGTTGATGGGATTGAAGTACTAAGTAAATGTCGACCTTGAATTCGATGCCGATGTCTATAAATTTTTTATTTTTTTTTTTCTGAATATAAAGTTTTGTTTTTTAATTTACCGTCGAACAGCAAAAAGAATTAAATTAATAATTGCCAATAGAATAACAAATAGAATTGATACAGCAACAATAGTCATATCTGTTTTACTTAACCATCCATATTCTGTAGAATTTTTTTTATTTCTTTGTTCAATAACACGTCGAATCATATTATGAACATTGGGAGTTGTTGTTTGTTCTAAATTGAAATTAAAATTGAATTTAATAGTAAATATTATTTCAAAATCATTCATAAAAAGAAATTATTTTTCTTATTTGTACCCTTGATATTTGTTGAACAATTACATATAGGGCAAGATGTACGTCGATCTAGATATCTCATAATCAATGAATAATATGATCGTATACATCATAGTTATTCATATAAGACTTAAATCAACAAATAAAAAAAAACAACTATGCCTCAATCAAAATGTAAATAGGATTGTTTAATCAAATAAATCATCCTTCTTTTTCCTCTCACGAGAGAACATCACTAAATACTATCGTCTATTTGACCTCGTATGTTGCTCCTTAGTAAGACTCATAGAATAGAGAGAAAAATCCTGATCATTAAACGAAAGTTTTACAGATAAAGGAAAGTAATTCGATCAATTATCTCTTCTATTATTTTTTTTGTCTTTATCTCATTCGTATGTTCACTGGACATAATAGGAGTGGCGGAGCCAGTGAGGTTAGTTGCCCTGACAAGAGTTTTTTTCTTCATAAAGAAAATCATTCTAACCATTAGTTTGAATTCCCATAGCATTTCGTTCATTAACACCAGAATTTTGTTGGGAATGATGACGTTTTGCTGGTGGTGTATTGATAGTTATAACTTTCCATTTAGATTTTGTTGGAATATAATCTGATTGTGAATATTGTTGTCCAGGTGAAATTGACAATAAAGTACTTGTTGTTAGTATTCCTTGACTTGTACTAGTAGTAAAATAATCAAGCCAATCTTTATATTCATCGTCGAAATCATCATATGGTTCTTTTTTATTTGAATCAATTTCTTTATAAGGCCATTGAAGCCAATCACCAATAGGTTCATGTGTTGTACTCATAGTTATCCTACTTGATGGCTCTGTCAGACGAGTTGTACTTTTTCTAGTTGTTGTAGTTGTCATGGTAGTACGAGTAGTAGTAGTAGTAGTAGTAGTAGTTGTTGTTGTTGTTGTTGTCGAGGTCGTCGTAGTGGTAGAATAAGTAGTAGTAGTAGTCGTAGTGGTGGTGATAAGAGTAGTGCTAAGAGTAGTAGTGATGATAGTAGTACTAGTAATAGGTATTCTTCGTTTTGTGCTAATTATTTTTGTAGATGTTATTAAAGCTGGTGTAGTATAATGAAATTGTATTGATGATGCTTTGGTTTTTTTTGTATACCATTGCCATTGCCACCAATCAAAAGGACCAGCTGGTGAATACCAAGGAGTTGGTAATGGTAATGTAGATTTCATAATAGAAGATAATGCTGGTAAAGTTGTCGAGGATTTAATTATAGGTTTGATAGTTGTTGTCAATGATTGAGAATTACTAGAACTATAAAATATCCATGGTTGATGAGTAAATAATAAACGTTGACGAGCAGTAACAGTTCGAGTTGTTGACGTAGAAATCGATGTTGTTGCTGTTGCTGCTGACAAAACAATAGTAGTTTGTTTAGTAGTAGTAGTTGTTGTAGTAATAGTTGTTGGTTCTAAACATGAAATATTTATTATTATGTTTTAAAAATTCAACAATTGAAAAACAAAATGATTAACATATATAATCGTTTTATTTACTTGTTATTGTTTTTGTTGTTATCGAAGTACTCGGTGTTGTAAATAATTTTGTTCGTCTTGGTCGAGTATAATACCAAGTAAAATTCCATTTTGAAACTGGTAATTGAGATGTTGTTGCTGCTGCTGTTGTTGTTGTTGTTGTTGTTGTTGTTGTTCGTAAAAATTTAATTAAGGTTTTATTCCATGCATTAATGGGATGTTTTAAATACCATCCACTTGGTCCATAAGCTAATTCAAATGTTGTTAATGCTCCATGTGGATATGTAAAAGCTCCAACAGCTGTTGAAGTATTTATTTCTAAGAAAACCAAAAGAAGTATTATTCACACTTGTTTAACACATTCCTTTTTTTTTCTCTTTATTTTCTTAGCACACTAACATTTAATCTTAATATCTTTTATGCGCCACACCTCAATTCTATTCATTCGAAAAAATTGACAAGAATGTGAGGACAAATGGCTATAAATGTGTACTCGAAAGATTATCACGACGCCATTAAAGGTAAGGTCATTGTATGACATAAGTCGAGATGACAATATGTATCTATGTTTACCTTCATTACAGATTAGAATTTTTGATATACTTACTATAGTTTGTATTAACAGATGAATGAAGTGTAGTGGTAACAGGAAAACGCATACGCATCATAGGACCATTGATTGGTGTCGTTGGATTTGGTGGATTATTAAATGCTAAACGACTCCAACCATGATCATATGGAGTTGAAATAGAAGGTGATATAAGTGAATTTGATGATAATGGTACACCAATTTTTTCACGTGGTCCACAATGTAAATGAACTTCTGCATTTGGATGACTCGCTATTAATAAATAAATAAAATACAAAAGAAGCAACAAATGGTTCAATTATTTCAATAGAAACAAAAAGACGGATGATGAAATTCAAACCTTCATAAATAATCCAAAATCCTCCACGTACAGTCGGTGTTCGACTATAAAAATTAATATATAATGTATTTGTATCACTTAAATAATTATGTCCTTGTTGTAAATAAGTACATTGAGTGCTTCGTTGCTCATTACTACTTTGTAAATAAAGACCAGCACCAGCACAACGTTCTATAAACGAAAAAAACAAAAAATCTCTTTTTTTTTCCTGTTCTTGTTGTTGTTGATCAATGCAATACGTACTATCATAAGGAATTAGTTGAAAGACAATAATAGAAAGTAATAGACGATGTTGTAATTGTGTTGATAATTTACACCAACAATCATCACTTGATGTATAAGGATTAGGAAAATTTGGTGTTTGTAATGTACCCCATGCCGAAGTTATTGCTTGTGATGAACAAACCTCATGTATAAATACATCTATATAGAAAAAAAAAGAAATAACTTAATTTATGAGTTTTTTTTGCCTTGTATTATTTTTATTCGTTCTGTCTTAGCCCTTCCTCAATTGTCATGCGATCAATTATGCAACGTTCGATTATTATTGCTTGGTCACATAGTAGAAAGATGTTGTAATCTAATCTCACTTGTGTTTAATTGCTCTCTTGTCTGATCTCTTTATTTTTTTATTCGTAAGTTTTTTTTTTGTTTTTGATTTGAACGTGCTATGAGATATCTTTCTATCTAATCCACATTTCGTTTGGATCTGTCGAGAAATTTTGTTGTTGTTGTTGTTGTTTTTTTTTATACCTGATATGCATTCAAAAAATGCCATTGTATAATCAACTAATTCATTATGACAATTATCTTGAACACTATTTAAACGTATACGTTGCATATGTAATGTACAATTTTCACGTCCTGAACAAGCAGATGTAAAACTTGTATGAACTTTACAATCAACACCATAAGATTCTTCATTTGAATCTTTTAAAAATTGTTTTTTTTGTTTTAAACATTGTATTGGTAAACGTGATCTATGTTTTGCTGTAGCATCAAATGCATCTAACATTCGAATTTTTTCATTTGGTCCACAACGTATTGTCATTATACCAGGTTCATCTGAACTATGACAATAAACAGCTGTTAAAGCATCTAAATAAAATGAAAATAATTAGAAACAAAAAAAAAATTCTTTCTTTTTAATAAAAAGATTTTCAACTTACTTGTCAATGGTACAACTGGTGGTACTTGTGTTAATGTTTGTTGAATACAAATGATGAATAAAACAAGAAAAATTATATTAAAATTCATTGTTATTAATAAAATCAATACTATCTATCTGTCGAACCAATAAATATATTTGTAATTAGAATAAATTGCACATACATAATAATAATAATAATAATAATATATGAAGATAATAGAATGAAATATTCATTTATTTTAGTTATTGTCTTGTCAATGTGAACAATATAATAATATATTGCGCATCTGTTTCTTCTGTAAAGATAGACAAAAATGTAAAGTCGATGTTCAACTGTCTCTATTTGATATTTTTTCTAGGTCGTTGACTTCATTTCAATAAATAAAAAAAAACCCAAGAAGGATATAGACGACAATTACAATGAGGTCAAATTTAATGAATTGACTTTTGTCTTTAGTTAAATATATTTAATACTTGCATCTTCTCTCTTAAAATATTAGGAAAAAAGAAGAAACTTTCATACCAAATGAGAAGCGGCGCGACGATAACTATATACACACTATGTCAACTTGGCGGCATGTTTAACAAGGCAGTGCGACGAAAAAAATTGTACAGAAAAAAACGAAGAAGAAGAAGACGAAGAGCATGTCATCACCAAACTACCATCACTGTACATATTAATCCTACACATTGACAAGAGGAAGAGAAATAGAGCAATGCTTGTATATCGTTCTCTGTCTCTTTCTCTCTCATTTATGTATGATTTTAGATCATTGATGTGCGTTCTTTTGCTGTTGGCGCGTGAGTAAACAATAGTGTGAGGTGTACAAATGATACAGAGGACTATTTCCTTGCAAAAGAAAAACAAGAAAGAGACTAACGAGCGGAAGAAGCGCTTGTTTAACCTAATTTTGATGAATAAACTATTAGTTTTTCATTTTCCAATGAAATAAAGATAATGATTATTTCTTTGTCTTTTTGTTTCCCGTCAAACAACAATGTCAACACTTACCTTCGTTTTGAATAAAATGAACACTTATGAAAATATGAAAATGAAGAGAATTTTAAAGAAAAAAAAAAAGTGTGATCAACATGTAGAATAGTTGGATTTTTCTTTTTTCAATTCATTCAATCATTTAGTCTAGACATATGATTCAAGGTAAAAGAAGAATCTAATGATGATAATGGATAGGGAATAATCACGTACATCGACTGTTAACAATTTAATGCAGTCATTATGTACGTGTATTTCGAATAGCATCAATTAAAAAATTTATTATTTGAATGGTAAGATCAATGATAAAATCTGTTTGCTTTTAAGAAACACACGAAATAACTAGTGACGTATTATGATGTCAGATTTATTTAAAACATTTGAAACGTAAGTACGATAAGAACATTTCTTAAATTTTCGTTTCATATCATATTACATAAAGCTGAACATTTATGAATTTGACTTGTGTCGATGAAATATACAAACTATCTGAGTACCATTATAAGGTGAGTAAGGGGAAGCAATTCATCAAGAATTACAATATAATGTATATACGATTATCGTTTCTAAATCATCAAATAATGATTATGATTATTGTTTTTTTTATTTTTATTTTTTGTTTTGAACATCAATTCATAAGTAAAAGTGTTATATAAATCTAAGACATTTATGTTTTAATCAATAATAAAGAATGAATCATATATGCATTAGTCGAGTATTATATTTAATTAAGAAGAGAAAAAAAAACGCAAATCTACTAAGCCTTGTATACACAAATTAGTTTAACTTCTAAAAGATATTCACACAACAAAACTACTGATAACGACTACTGCTACTTTTGCGTTTCATTGCTTCTTGTATTCGTCTTTCAAGTTCTTGTATCAAAGCATCATTATGTGTATATGTTCCTGTTTGTAATAATGTATCTCGATGTTCAATTAAAACACCAAGTTGTTGATCAACTTGTTCTAAATGATCATTATCATTGGATAAATTTGATTGATAATCACCAGTAACTATTGGTGTTGATGAGACTTCTTTTAATCTTATTTAGTAAGTAAAAAAAAAAAAATTTTTTTTTTTTATGAAATTGAATTTATTTATTTATTTATCTTACTTATTTAATTCATTTTTAATATTTTCTAATTGTTTATGATCACTTTTCATAATTTCATTTTCTTCAGCAGCTAAATATCTTTATACATACAGAAGAAAAATAAAACAAATGAATAAAATTTTTATTTTTGATATTTTTTACATTTACCTTAATCGCATATGTTCAAGTTCTTGTTGTTGTTTTTGAACTAAAAATTTTGATTGATCATGCTCACGTTGTTGAAGACGTCGAAATTCTTTTAATGCTTTAAGCCATTGTTGTTTATAACGTTCAGCTGATGTTAATGAAGCATCTAATTTACGTTGAAGTTCATTCTAAATAAAAATAAAAGAAAAGTTTTTATTAATAAAATATAAAAATTTACCTTTTCAATTGTAATCATATTTATTTCAGCTTGAAGTTTAACTTCTGGTGCACTACGTTGTTTGTCTTTATAAGAAAAAAATTCTTGTTCTTTATCACGATAACGTTTTTCCCATTCGGCTACGGAACGTTTTAAACGAATAATATCATCATCTAATGCTTGATTTTTACTTCTAAAATGAAAAAATAGTTTTAATCTTTAGTTAACTATTTTTGACACCAAAATATAAAGTAGGTCATAATCAAAATTTGATAAGTCAGCAATTGATCATTCTTCACGGAGATTTTCGAAAATAATATTTTAAAGTCAGTTCGAATCTTAAGACAAATATCACCATCCGTCTTAGCAAGACGAATTGCGAGTGTCTAGCTGATTTTCCGGTGAAATCGAAGGTCTCAAGAAAATCATATAACTGTCAAATAGAACAAGTTAGAAATGTCATCCTTGTGAAGATTGCAAGAGAAATGACTTTAGAATATCGTTTTTAAAAATCTTGGTCAAAATTTGACTTGCTTGGTCAATTGCTGACTAATCAAATTTAGATAGGCCGAGGAGCTTCTCTGTTGAATGGTGAGAACCACAGCTGTCTATGATGTTCCTATGGAAAGTTATGCAAAAACTATTGTCCTGTCTTATGATTTGTCGTCGATAAAACTAGATCCTATTGAACGTCTCCTAATTAAATAGTTCATGTAAATTTATGGTCTTTTCTAGTTAAGAGTGGAAACAAGATCAATACTTTTTCATTGAAAATGATACCTTTTATGGTCATATAAAATTTGCATTAAATGTCATATTGTCACGTCTTATATGTTTTAGATAGATGTCCGCAAGATAGTTTCACTCCTGTCTTCTTCGAACAGATATTATCAGTTCGAAGGTTTTTCTCGTAAGTTAATTTTCTCTCGTGTTCTCATTGCTATCCCAAATCAACTTACAAAATTAGTCTCATAATTGAATAATAGTAACTTTATCTGATGAAGAGATATTTCTTTTTGTAGGAATATCTATTTTAACTATATTTTCATATGTGATTTTAGAAATAAATTAAAGATGTTATTAACTTTTCAAGTGTTATTTGATGTTCAGATTGTTCTTGTAAACGTTTTGATGCTTCACGTATTTCAATATATTTATTATCATAATCACGTTTTAAATCAATTTGCATACGTTGAACCTATAAAAAACAAAGAAATTACGACGACATATTCAAAAAGAAAAAAAAAATTTTACTTCTTGCTCTTTAACATTCAATTGTTTTTCACGTTTTTCAATATCTATTAAAGCTTTTTTCATTTGTTTTTCTAAATCTCCATATTCTTTCATCTACAACAAGTAAATTATGATTAAAAGAAAAACAAAAACTTTGATTTTTTTCTTTTATGCAATTCAATAAACCTTTTTTTGAAGTAATGATTCACGTTCACGATCTTTTTCTTTAAATGCTTCCATTAATTCATAAATTTTTTTTGCTTCAACTTCCCGTAACTATTCAATATATATTAAAAAAATAAAATAAAATAAATCAACGAAATAAATACAAACATGTTTTTCAAATTCAAGTTCTCGGCTTTCTTTCCATAATTGTAGTTCATATGCGGCTTGTATATATGCATCATCATGTGGACGATGAAAAATTGTATCAATACCACAATGCTATTAAATAAAACAAGACAATGAATCATATATCTTTATCTAATTATTGAAAAAGAACTATATATGGTATACGAATACTTTTTTTTATTACTCTGAAAGTTCTATCAATACTCATCTATTGTAGAGATATGGAGAGTAAGCTGTTTTTTTTTGTACTTTGTGCCCCGTCTGAAAAATAATTTCATATTCATTCAGTACACAGTGAAGTCAACGTGTGCATATAAAATAAACAATGGGTAAGTGTTTTTTTTTGTGTATGTATTCTATTCCGCATGTCCGTAGGATGTAAAACTCATTGGATTCAAATGTTATTTTAATTTGAACGAGATGTTATTTAATTATTATCAAGTTTGAAAATATTTGACTCGAATGAATCGTATTAAGATAATTATCTCAATTATGATTAAAAAAAAATAATAAATTATACCGGTGGAACAGAATGAGGTCGAGGTGTTGTAGATGAATTAAGATGAAGTGCACCAAGATCTTCTAATGTAATTGTAATTAATAATTCTGCACGTTTTCTATAATATTCAATTTATTTTTAAATATAATTCTATGTAAAAATTCTTTACTCTGTATTATGTCCAATAACAGGTAATGCTTGAGTCCATGTTTGTCTCCATCCAAGAATTCCATTAATATTTGATGAACAACGTTGTTTTTCAACTTGTAATACTTTATCTAATTGTACATGAACAATACCAAATAATTCATCTTTACGTTCACTACGTTCTTGATCACGACAATAAACTTCAATAGTTAATGGTTCACGATGAAAATGAGATGTTAATTGTTCAGTATCAACAGCAAAATTAAATATACATAAACCATGTGGTAATAAATGTTCATTAGGTGGTGCTGATGATGTATATGGAATATGTAATGGTGGATGTGTTAATATTGGTGTTGATGTACCAAGAAATGGATAAACATAACGACAATATAAATATGTTGAATGTAATAAACGTAAATT